CTTTTAATAACTTCATACAAGAAATTTGTTTAGCATTAAATTTTATTGGATTATTAAAAGTAAGAGGATTATCAAGATTTTTTATCTAATACAAATTTCACATTTACCGAACAACTTTTTCAGTTATGTTGATAAGCTGGATATTTTATTTCATACCCTACTTACTTTTTGTAAGTCTCAGAAAGCTATTTAGCCAGTGCAAACCAAAAAGCCTAATTTGGGCTATTTCTGGTTATCTGTAGTTTTAATTAAATATCTCTAGTGTGGTAATTAAAGCTGACAGTACACACACATACATTTAGGGTGGGGTCAGTGGTGTGCTTGGCTTGGCTATAACAAAGACAGTATTTCACCTTGTTTTCCTTATTTATAGACAGGGTTTTAGGGATAAGATGGTGTAAAAAATACTTTAGAACATTCACAGTGTAAAGATAAACTTTGCAAAATGTGTTATGATTAAATGATATTTCATTAATATAAATTTTAGATTAAGCTGTATAGTCCGAAAAATCTTCATGTTATTTTCTGCAATGTTAACTATGTTAATTGGTTGACATGATTATTCTTTGCTTTAGCTAGCTCAAAATTCTTATCTACATTGAATTTTTAAAATTGTTTTAAGTCTTTGTAATATGTGTTTCTTTAAATATTTTCATCATTTTAATGCCATTTATTTCAAGGTGGTGTTTCTATTTCAATAATGAAAAAATCCTAAATTGATTGATAGTGCATTCCTATTGTTAATGCTTTTTGGTTAGTTTATAATTGTTTTAAAATGGTTTTTGGCATGGGAGCTTCATCTGAAGACCCTTTTCACATTTCTTTACTACTTTTATACTTGGTTAATTATAATTTTAGTATTTGTTAAAGATTCTTTAAAATTATCACCAGAAACTAGCCATTGACTTTATACTTTGGAATATTTGTTTTCATATAAATACTTGTTTCTATATAATGTTTTTTTAAGTTTTTTTTGCTTGGGTTAAGTAAAGAAACCATTTTGATCACCAACCTGAGAATTCACTGTGGATTCAAAAAATTCATAGAAAAATGGAAGTGAAAGGGTGGATATTTTCCCACAAACTTTTGGTATTTATAAACATATGTATCTGTGTTTCACATTATGTAGCCAAAAAGTATTGCTACTGGTGGTCTTGCTCCTATATGCAGAGGTTTGATCCAGATGAACTGTCTAAACATGCCTCTGCAGTCAGTAGGTGGTGGCAGACAAGTCCACTCAGCAATACAAGCCTTAGACTTAGGGTTAAGGTGCTTTGTGTACAAAAAAAAAAAAGATAACATTTGTGCCATGGATAAAACTATTTGTGATCAGGGATAAAATCTAAATTTTTAAGAGAACTCACGTGGACCTTTTCCCAGATCATTGAAGTTTCGCAACAAGTTTATGGGAAACTGCCTTATGTTGGGCTCAAAGATGAGCTAATTGAAGGAAAACTGTCAACCTGGACTCGTGAAACTAGCTGAAATTCAGAAACTGGTGAATGACTGGTGGAATTACCATTGATGTGTACTAGCTACTGAAGTTGAGATTCCACGTGATTCAACATTGATAATGAACATCTTGACCTCAGCAAGATTTGCACAAAGATCAGCTAAGAAAAAGATGCAGACATAATCATAGAAATCAGAAAAAAAACTTAAGAATTTAGGAAAACACTACACAAACTGACAAAAGTGAAAAATTAGAAGCTATACTAAAACAAAATAGAATGCTCAAAGGGCTGATCTTTCCATTAGTCTTTTAAGTGAGATTAATGGTTTTATAGAAGGAACTGTAAATGGGATGTCTTGGATTAACAGAACAAGTCCCTTAAAATCAAGGGATGCCAGAAGATTATGGTGACAATATTTGGATCCTAAAGGGGCAAAAGGAAATCAGGAGGGTTTAGCACTAAACGATTTTTAAGAGTGAAAACTGCATTCTTGATCAAAAGGCAACGAATGTGCCAAGGAATTTTTCCCCCCGTCACAATATACCTCTTCTTCCAGGCTCACAATGGCTGGTTTATGAGAATTTTGTCGAGTAAACAGCCCATTCACCTACAGCTCTTATCTTGCCCTTTCATACTATTATTTGTTCCTTAAACTCATCCTTTAAGAGGAACATGATTTGAGCCCCTCAAGGATGCCAAAACTGCCATTTTACATAGTGTTAATTAAAAAGTTAATTAAAAAGCAAACCAAGAGACGAAAACCTGCCTTCAGAAATGTGTAAAACTAGATGGAGGTTATGGAAAAAACAGGAGCTTCTCATTTCTATATTTTTGCTTAGTAAAGGTTTCTCATTTTGGATTTTGTAGCAATACCTTTTGACTTTGTATAGGAACTTTTGTTGGGTGTCATTGAGTCATAACTCACAGTGGCCCTATAGGATTCCTTAGGCTGAAATTCTTATGGATTTTCCATAGTATGTCTGTGGAAGGAGGCCAGGTGGCATACTGGGTTAAGCATTAGAGTTGGGAACCTTAAGGTGGTTCAAACTCATCAGCTGCTCTGCAAAAGGATGAAGCTGTCTGTTTCCACAAAGATTTTCAGTCTCAAAAACTCTATGGAGTTATTCTTTGTCCAATAGGATTGGATGTCAGGGTCAACTCGATTGGCATGAGATTAGGGAGAGTGGGTTTTTTTCAATTGAACTGCTGGCAGGTTCAGACTGCCAACCTTTTGATTAACAGCTGAGGGCTTAATCATTGTGCCACCAGTTCTTTTAATTAAAGCTACTTAGTGCTAAATGCTAAGCAAAAGGATGTACAGTAAAGTTTTCTTGGTGATTTTGCCTTAAGTATTCAGTCATTACAAGAAAACAAAAAGATTCTATTTATAAATATGTAATTCAATCATGTACACCGAGTATATAGTGATTATCAAATTGTATTTAGTGCTTTAATGTTACTTTTACAATCTATTGAACTGATTTTATGCTCAGATTATAATACAATATAGAGTATAAAAACACATTGAATGATGGAGCAGTTTAATACATTTCACCTGTAGTTTAAGAACATTTGGATTGCCTTGAACAGAATCAATTTCCAGTTCTCTTTCAAGTTTCCAGATTTATTCCAGTACCTACTGCATGTCAGATTTGTGAGGTGATAATTTATATGTCAGCCGGTTTAAAGTCTGGTAAATGTTACCAAAGATCATGACACTTTTAACACAATGAAGTGTTCTAAATAATGTTTGTGCATTTATTAAATGTGAAGTGCTTATATAAATTAAGTGAACTAACTTGTTAATAGTAAAACAGTGTAGGATTGTTACAAAACAGAATAGGTACATTACCTTTTCCTCTCTACATTTGAAAAGTTCTGTAAGTAGTTCTCATATCCAGGAACCTCTATGGAATAAGATGTCAAAGCTATTCCTTAATGTAAAATAGCTTGCTAGAGTGAATTAATTGAAACCCAAAATTTGCATAGGAAAATCAGATAAAAGGTTACAATAGTTTAGATTAATGACACAAAATAAATAATCAGTCTCAGCCTCATAGGGACTACACCTTCTGGCCCTGTTATGTTGGGTGTGTTTTTCTATAAATTTATTGCCCACACTCAGCACATTACTTGGACATGACTTTTTATCATTTCTTGTGTGTGTATATAAAACTTAAACATTTTGTCATTTTATGTTGATGCAATGTATATATAAGAAGTCAGTGATGGAGCTGAAATGTTAGAAGATAGATTTGCATTGGGAGGTGGCAGGACCCAAATGCTCAAGATTGCGTTTTCAGACATGGAGGTGGGAAAAGCCTATGTAATTTATATTCCACAGAGACTAAAGAAAAGCAGAAACTGCCATTTCTGCTTAATTATAGCATATCTAGTTAACTAAAAGTTCTTTTGACTTCATGAAAATAAACTTCTGATTTATGAACTTGAGAAGTTAGTGTTTTATTATCAAATATAATTTTGCTTATTAGCTCATAATTTAGAATATTAAATTTTTGAGACGGCGTCATTTAAAAATTTTGGTACAGCTTCAAAATTAACATTCAGTAACAAGTACAATGTCACTGGAAAACTATTGGACATGTGGGGAAATGAATTGTCATTGTGTACCCATTTTGATGCAATAAAATAATGGATTAGAAAGCAAAAATATTAGATAGGTTTTGTGACATTACAAAGTGTACATTACAATGCCAGCACGCTCACTACTATCCTTACATATAAATCAGAAAGCAAACCAAAACTGCCATCAAGTGGATTCCGACTGACAGCACACTATTGGACAGAACAGAACTGGCCTTTTGCGTTTCTGAAGCTATAAATCTTTGCGGGAGCAGAAACCCTCGGTCTCCAGCGCAGTCACCAAACCAGCTGCTGACGTTGGGTTAGCACAACGCAAAACCCTCTGCGCCACTAGGGCTCTTTTGTGATCCTGCAATTACTGCAGGGTGGAATCGCCATTTTTCATCAGCCTGGCTCCAGTAGCCAATGCAGGTAACACCATACCACACCGCTAGATCATTTTAACCAACAGATGAGACTAAGATTTACAGCTGTGCTCCTAAACCACCTGATTCCAGAAAAGAAGGGAGCAAATATCAGACAAATAGAAGAGTGGAGGGACCTATCCTAAGTGCCTTTCTTCCAGGAGCTTCACCTATATTAGTTCTGTGATCCGTACACACCTAACTATAATTCCCACTTTAATGACCTGGAAACGACCAAGGTAACAGTAAAGTGTTTGATTAGGGCCACCAAGCTGCTACCATTCGAGAGAGGACCTCTACTGGACAGGGTACAATTTCTGTCACGCACCTGACAACTGACTAATCTGCCAACGCGGGGTCCCGGCTCCGCCGGGCTCCGCCGGGCTCCGCGAAGGGCGTGGGCGGAGCGCGCTGGGGAGGCGGGGCCCAGGCTCCGGGTCCCGCGCTGGCTCCGCCCCGCCAGGTTTGCTTCCGGGGCCGTCGAGGCGTCCACGTCATCCTCGGGCTCCGCTCGCCAACGGGGCAGGGCAGAGTGGCGTCAAGATGGCGGCGGCTGCGGCGGCCAGTATTCGAGAAAGGCAGACAGGTATCGACTGACGCCCTTCTCGCGGCTTCACCCTCCCCACTCCGCGCGTCACCCTCACCCGGTCGCGGTGCGCGGGCTGGAGGGAACGACCTCCGGGAATTGAACACATTCCCTGAGCATCAGGAGCCCCTCCCCTCTGAGGTGTTTAGGGTTTTTTCTTTTTCAAAGAGATGCTTCTGGCGTGAGGGCTTGGCCCCCATCCTGTGGTGCAGGAGAGGGGCCGACGGAGGTGGGCGGCTCGTCGTTTTCCTTGTGGGCCGCAGCAAGGCCGTCTCGATAGGGGTCTGACAGCTGGCATGTTCCTTCCTGTGGTTTCCAGTGGAGCCTCTAGGTGGTTTCTGTCCATTTGGTTCCGTTCTCTGCCAGTTTTAAGGTGGAAAGAACTCCGTTTTTAGGTACTTTTCACCACAGTTGCAAAATTTAGACAGGCTCCATTTCAGACTGGTTTACGTTCTGCCGTCTCTCTCGGACCAATCTTATAGGTGTACCTGAGGAGAAAGGCCAAGTGATCATGGTAGACGTCAACCTTGTGATGACTTACAGCGTATGCAGTTGTGTGCAGCCCTTAACAGTTAATTTGCTGTAAACTGTCAGATGAAGTCAGGTATAAGTATCACATACAGTTTGGGATGCCACATGTAAACTTACTCATTGCTTGATAGGTTATGCCAGATGGATCACTTAGCAAATTAGTCCCCTGATTGAGTTCTTATGTCACACAAAAGTAAATTTCCTGTATATGTGCAGTAGTGGCAGAAATAAAAATGTGCTGGTGCTTATTGGAAATGGGTCAGAATCAACTCCAGAGCAGTGAGTTTAGCTTAGTTTGAGTTTTGTTGGAAATGTTTTGGGAAGCAGCTAATAATCTTCAAATTTTAATTGAAAGCTTACTAGATACAAGATACTGTGTGTGATAGTTGAAAAGGAATGTGCAATCAGTTTGTGTAAATAACAGCTGATGGTTGTTGCATAGTTATGACTGCCAGGTGCTGTTGTAAGTGGTTTTTCAATGTATTATCTTCATTTTACAGATGAGGAAGCCAACGTAAAGAGAGGTTAACTGGCACGGCAGTTTCTTAGCCTGGCTGAAGAATGTTTACTCATCTTTCAAAGGTCACTTCAAAAGTGTTCTCCTTTCTGAAAGCTTCCTCTCTTTTCCCATCTTGATACCTCCACTTCGGTAGGCCCGATCTCTAGCGTCCTCCTCTGTTACTTCACGCGTCCTCACCTTTGCAGGTTCTTCCTCCTCCACTTAACATTGAGAAGCTCCACATCTGACTGATTTCGCTCCTTATGGCTATCTGGTCTAGCCACTTGGCTTTAAATACCATCTATTTGGCAATTTTCAGGTTTGTATCTCCAGCCCAGAGGACCTCTCTTCTGCACTCCTTCCCATATCAGTAATTCATCCTTCCCATATTAACTCATGCCAATCCTTGTGGCTGCTCAGGTCTAAAATCGTGAAGTTTTCTTTTCTTCCCTTTTTCATACCCCACATTAGGTCTGTCAATAAATCTTGTATGCCCTACTCATTGATTTGACCAATTTTGTTATCACACAGCTCTAAGAGACCGTGAGTTCCTGCTTCAATTTCTGCAGTAACCTATTTTGTCTCCTCTTTTATACCCATGTTCTCGGTTTTCTTCACCCAGCACCTAAAGTTGTCACATCCTTATTTAAAACCATCCAGCAATTTCCCATTTCAGTCATGTCTGAAGCCAAAGAAATCGTAGAGTGGTGTCTACAAGGCCCTTTGTGGTCTTTCCCAGTTGTTCTCCATCTTTTCTTGAACAAATAAACACCTCCTAGCTTGAGAGCTTTTTGGGAGATGGGGGATAGGGGTGGTGATATTTCTACTTTTAGTCAACTTTTTCCTCTAGCTAATCAGAACATATGGCTTGCATTTACACCTGCTGTCGATCTTTACTCAAATGTTTACCTTCTCAGGCCTTCGATGATGAGCCCCTGGTCCCCTTCCCTTTGTCTTTATCACATGCCAACATTTTACCTGCTATATGTTTTGTTTATTTTGTTTATATCTTTCTCCTCCAACTGGAATAAAGCTTTGGAAGATCAAGGAATTTTTATATGCTCTACTTTGCTTATTTCTATATCCCCTGTAGCGAGAGCAGTGTTGGGCACATGGTAAACATCCACTAAACATTTATTGAGCAAATGAATGAATGAGTATATGAATTAACAGTACACGTAGTTGATAGTATTTCTGTCATAACTTGAGTCAAGAAAATATTTCAGGTAAGACTGAAGCTAAATTAACCACATCTAGGAATGTGGATAAAATGTTTAAACCCATTAAGAAACTAGCTCATCTCAGTTAAAAACAGCAATTTAAGCCTTGAGCTATCATGATGAAAAGGAAATTTATAGTCACATATACTCTTTGAAGACAGGCCACACAGTTTATTAGGAATCCACTGTGCTGATTCATTCTGTTCTACATCTTAACTACCAAACTATGCCGATCATTGGAAACACCTGGCAGCTGGTGAAACTACAGATTTGTCGGCTTCATTTACAACCTAATCAATTTTTAGGGTAGGAGAAGCCCAGGTATCTTAGATGAAGCTTATAAAACAACCAGCAGGATTGCTTATTGATACCAGCCTCTCTGAATTAGGTAAGGCCTCACTGTAGAGAACTTGTCACACCTGTGGTTCACATGGCCCGAGTGGGAAAGGTGCAGCTCAGACTGATTTTTCCTAGTCATGTGTCAAGAGTACAACCTATTTAAGAAGAAAGATTTTGGGCTCATGAGCCCAGTTCATATAATGGTTATGCGTTGGGCTGTCTTCCTCAGAGCCGGCAGATTGAAATGATCAGATAGATGCTCCAAGGGAGAATGACAGGGCTTTCAACTCCCATAAACCTTTACAGTCTGAGAAACGGGACAGTTCTACGCTTTTCCCTAGCGTCACTGAGTTGGCCTCAACTGGAAGGCAGTGAGTATGAAGGTGGTGGTAGCTAGATTGCCAAGAGATGGGGGAGGACTTCTGCTAGAGTATAGTGAGAGCTAATCCTGAGAACACCCATCTGTACTTCCCTGTTTGAAGTTAAAAGGTTTGGTTTGTTTTATAATAGCATACCACCTGTGAACCCTGAGGTAGATGTAAACTTTGGGGAATGTGCAGCTATTGGTCTTAGGTATTAAAGTCTTAACAAAAAGTAATCTCTGTATACACCCACAGGGAGCCCTGGTGGCATAGTGGTTACATGCTGGCTGCAATCTTCAAGGCTGGCAGTTCAGAACCACTAGCTGCTCCAAGGGTGAAAGACGGGACTTTTACTCCGGTAAACAGTTACAGTCTCTAAAATTCCCAGGGGCAGTTCTACCCTGTCCTATATGGTCACTGTGAGTCGGCATTGACTTGGCAATCAAATATACCCCCGTATGTATAAATAAATGAATCTGTCATTCTTTATTACTGCATGTATTAGTCGAGGTGTTAAAGCATTATACCTGCTAAACATACATTTTTCTAGAAGCTTTTGTAGTGAGTGGATGAGTGTTTAGTGACAGTCAAGTGATTTGGATATTCTACAGTTCTCTGGAAGGGGTTTGGAATATGAGTTATTCCATGTTGCTTAATAAACCTAATCCAAATACTTTCCAAGATTAAGTAGATTTTTAGATTTACTCATCTTGCTAAAAACCTCAATCTCTTAACTAATAAACTTCCTTAAATATCTGGCCATTTCAAATTCATCTAGAAATATATGAAGGATTTTTTGTATTTTCATTTCCCTTACAAAATATTTCTGAATCTGTTAACACATGACTTAGATGAGCACAAAAAAGCACAAAAGGCTATACCATCTGGAGCATGACTGCTGTGGCTTTTGAGTGTTTATATTAGAGGAAGTATTTTGTCTACCATATCTATGGAAAGTCTTTTTTTCCCCCCTATAATAGGAGTTTTAAGCTATACAACTTTTCAGTGAGTCGGGGGATAAGTTGGTAAGAACATGCACTCCTAAGTCACTAAAAATTAGACATTCTATCTGAAGGTTTTGTACATAAACCAATTATCATAAATAATTTTCATTCCTAGAAATATTGTCTTAATCTATTCTTTAAACCAGGTGATAGACAATGGAACCTCATTGCAAGTTTATGATTGAAAAACCTGTTTTTGCATCAATGTAAGATTAAGTATGGGGTAGTCAGAAGAAATCCAAAAAGCTTCTTCGAGAACCTTTTCTTACTGTTTAATATGGGGATAGATGTGTTATATTTTAGGAAAAGTCCCAAACAGATACCTGTTAGCTGTTAAGATCTGACCCCTAGGTCTATACAGACAGCATTTAATTAATCAGTATGACTAGAGTTGATTTGTCCAACTTTGTTTTGAGGTAGAAAATAAGAAATGCAAAAGAAATGAAATTCTGAAAAACAATGGTATTTGATAAAAATTATTTTAATTTTTAGTGGCTTTGAAGCGTATGTTGAATTTCAATGTGCCTCATGTTAAAAACAGCACTGGAGAACCAGTATGGAAGGTAAGAGAAGTTTAATTTATGGGGAAATATTTCTTTTTCTCAGTCCTTATCAGTTATAGTTGGGGACATTTCTTATAGCACATTTTAGTTATAATGCATGAATATTGTATTTTTAACCAAGCATCTTAATGTGAATCTTTCTGATAAATGTTTATGGAGTAAAATGGGAAAGCTGTATTCACTTAAAGAATCCACCTGATTTCTGGCAGGGCCTCTTTCACTGGTAAGTCTTTAGCTGGAGTGATGATTGTTCCTTAGCTTTCTAACTATTTTACTCTCTTAGGATTAGTCACAGCAACGGAACTGGTTCATTTTAATGCTGTGGATTGAATTGTGTGTCTATTTCCTCACCTCCACCTCCTCTCAAATATGTATTGAATTTCTGATCTTATACCAGTTGTGTGATCCTGTTTGGAAATAGGATTTTCCTATGTTAGGTCTATGTAGGGTGGATATTAAAACATACCGCTTTCATGTTGTAAAAAGACACATCCAAAGACAGATGCCATGTCTGCAAGCCAAGTAAATAAGATTACCAACCAGGAAGGAATCAATACGGTTAAAACTCCAATTTGGATGTTTAGCTTCCAGAACTATGGGAAATTAATTCTTATCCATCAACTTGTATTTGTGTTAAAGCAACATTAAGTGACTAAGAATTTGGTACCAGAGAGAAGGAATGCTACGCCAACAAGAACCTACAACGGGGAAGCGCTTTTGAATAGGTTAATGGATAGAGGCTGGCCGCATTTGATAGTAAGAATCTTAATTTCCTCAAAATGCTTGGTAGAACTATGGACATTCAGAGTGATACCAATGCGTGCCCAGAAAGAAGTGACAGTTGTAGGGCAAAGCTTCTATTGCCATGAATAGAATCTTGATAGAAGCAAATATTAAATGTGCTTGTGATACGTGATAAAAGGAATTTTGGACAGGAGGAATTGATTTTTTTAAATTATTTAAAAATGTTATTGAGCACTGGAGGAAACTCAGTACTTGTTACAAAGTGACAAAGAACTTAATTGAATAACGTTTGAGTGTCTGGGGGAAAGTAGAACTTTTAAGTGGTAAATTTGGACATTTAGCAAAGGAGATTTCCAAGCAAGCTCTTAAAAGGACGTTGTGGTAGTTCTTTGCTGCTTATAGAAAAGTGCAGGAGGGAAGTGATAAGGACAGTAACGAACTGTGGAAAAAGAACCAGACTGAATGATTTTTAAACTTCTATTATAAAACCTAAAGGGCCGTACTCTGCAAAAAATGACAGAAGGAACATGGGTTGCAAAAGAGTGGGAATACCACGTAGGTGTCAAAGAATGGGACCTGTGCCACCTTTACTATGGAGGTCTCTGCTACCTGGATCTTGATTCCAGTGAAACAAGAGAAAGACTGCTCAGGGTTCAGGGGATAGGGTTTATATCTCAGTGGACCTGGAAGGCCACACTGGCACCCAGAGGTACAGGACTGCCATCAGAATATGGACGGCATAGTCAGTGGGCTGAATCTGGAGGGCAGGTCCGTAGACCATATGAGCCTGGAAAAGAAGATCATTCCAAACCTGGAGAATTAGTGAGTTTTGCCTTGCTGTGTTTTGGGCTTGCCTCCTACCTGTGACCCCCTTCTCTCCCTCCAGTTCCTCTCTCTTGAAATAGAAATGTCTACCTTATGCCTGTTCCACCATTCTACTTTGGAAGCAGGTTTCACAGGTCCCCAGAGAAAAAGAATTTTGCCCCAGGAGGGAACACACTCAGAGGCTCACATTCACTTTTTTTAGGTGATTCAGAATCAAATTTTGAATTTAGAGTTGATGCTGAATAGGTTAAGAATTTTGGGGGTAATTTGATATGTTGATGGTATTTTTACATGTCAAAAGGACATGCAGATTGGGGCCGAGTCAGGATTTCAAAGGTAGAAAATTATAGATTTAATTGTATATCCCAAAATATGTGGTGAATTCCTGGCCTTTATGCCTTGGATGTAATGCTGTTTGGAAAATGGATTTTTCTTTAAGTTGTGCCATAGTTTGGATAATCTTAAACATAATCACTTAAAAGAAGATGAGAATAGACACATAAAATAGGCACCATGTGAGGAACCAGCCAAGGAACACTGGGGCTACATAGCAAGGAAGGAGTTAACACTACCAACCTGGACTTTCAGCCTCCAGAACTGAGGAAATACTTGTTTGGTCTTGAAAGTCGCCCTCTGGTATTTGTGTAATAACAGCAAGGCATTAGCCAACTTACAATAGACTGATCTCTAAAGCAGAATACCAGTGTATTAATTTAAGAGATTTAAAGCTCGCATTGAAACTGTTATTAAACCCAAAAGCAATCTGTAGACATTCTCCTTTGAGAAATGCTGGAAAGCCTTTATAACTGATTCTTAGGCTCCTTCATTCTAAACACCACAATGATTTGATCTTTGGAGAGAGATAATAATTAAGTTGAAACTACATTCACTTAACACTCACATTAGCTTATAACCAAGTTATCTTGGTTAGAACTTGGGGTGCTTTGGAAACTCGCTAATTCCTGCATGTCTTCCAAGTTAAATCTAAAGGAAATTATGGAAATGGCATGGCCACACAGAGGATGGACAATCCACCTCCACATTTGCCTAAATTTGAATTCTATGAGGCAGAGGTCAGACATGCCTCCACCCTCCGATCTTCTTTACCCTATTGTAACGCCAGCTGTCCCTCCGTGCAACAGATTACTCTGTTTTTTATAATCTGTCACAGTGGCCACGCAGAACTCACAACATTAATGACTATAGGGGTTTATTAGAGAAGTTACCAGGTTAGAACTCAGAATCAGACATATAAAGGATGCTATTACTTTGTCAGTAATGTCTCCTTTTGTTTTTTTAAACTATGACAGCAGGCCAGTCTTTCTCTAGTGTGGCCTTCTGCCCAAAGGCACTCAACTTTGCTTGTTCTGTCAGGAGGCCACGTTGATTTATGGTCGCTGCTACTGTAGCCACTTCTAGAAAGGACTTGAATGTGCTCTGGCCCTGGTTCTTCTTTCTTCCTGCTTCTGAGATGGCTCACTTAATACCCAGTGGAATGGCAAAAGTAACCATTCCTCATATTATTAGGTCCATACACCGGATTTGCATGTTCCTTCTTAGTTACTTGGTGAGAGTTAAAAAGATTATGGATAGAAGAACCATACCAAATAATTTTACTTTACCTCAGTAAAGTCATCTATTTTGAATTTATAATTTATGCTTAAGTTGTTATTTACCTTCTGTTAGCATGCTAACATGTTAGCATGCCCTTGTCTCGTGGCATGAAATGCCTGGGTCTGCAGCATCTTATGATTCGCTTTAGATTAGACTGTTATGACCCATAGGTTTCTTAATGATTGAACTGCAGAAATAGATTTAGAGACCTGTTTTTTCTAGAGTGTCTCAATCTGGAAGCTTCACTGAAACTTGTTCAATGTCATAGCATCAGGTGAGCCCCTTTTGACAGACAGTTGATTGTTGCACTTGAGGTTCATTAACTGAGAATCAGACCCAAGTTTTCAGTATAGAAGGCTAGAATTCCACTCACCCTTTAGAAACCCAGAAAACCAAACTCAAGTGCCATCACATTGATTTCACTGGATAGCAGCCCTATAGGACAGAGAATTGCCCCTTTGAGTTTCTGAGGTTGTAGATCTTTGTAGAGCAGATAGCCTCATCTTTTTCCTGTGGAGCCAGCTGATGGTTCGAAATGCTGACCTTCTGGTTAGCAACCCACCTTGTAACCTTCTTCACCACTTCTTCCTGTTCCTTTGTGGGCATCTTTGTCCTCTTTCATAAACTATATATGTTTATTTCTTAAGGCCTATATTGAGCTTTCTAACTTTAAAAGTTGAGAATGTTTGGGGTACAGGTTAAGTGTTACATGCTTTCCTTACTGATCATTTTTATGTTCCAAGATTGTTGGAATCCAGTATAAATCCTTTAAAAAGGCAAGAATTTTGAGAGATTCAATATCTAACCTCTTATAACTAGAGGAAGAGGTTTTTAGTTTCTTTTAAGGAAGTTCTGGCCTTCAAAAGACCCGTGCCTTCCTAACAGCATTTTCATCTCTCATTAGCAGTTTCAAATTCCATAAGAAATTTTTGTGGTTGGTGTGAAAAACACTAATTAAATAGTCTGGTTTTTTTGCCTTGTTTTGGAATTCTTACCATTCATTAAAGATGTCAGTTTTAAGCCTTTTAGAATGTGAAAAATTGCATTTGTTGAATAAGGCTATCCAGTATTTTTTGTGGACCTAATTTTAAAAAGGGATATATATTTTTTCTTTTTTAAATCATTTTATTGGGGGCTCATGCAACTCTTACCACAATGCATCCATCCATCCATTGTGTCAAGCACATTTGTGCATTTGTTGCTGTCATCATCCTCAGAACATTTGCTTTCTACTTGAGCCCTTGCTCCTCATTTTTCCCCTCCCTCATGAACCCTTGATAATTTATAAATTATTATTTTGTCATGTCTTAACACTGTCCAACATCTCCCTTCACCCACTTTTCTGTTGTCCGTCCCCCAGGGAGGGAGTTATATGTAAATGCTTGTGATTGGTTCCCCCTTTTTACCCCACCTTACCCTTACACTTACTCTCCTGGTATCACTACTCTCACCACTGGTCGTTAGGGATTCATCTTTCCTGGATTCCCTGTGTTTCCAGTTCTTATCTGTACTGGTGTACATGCTGTGGTCTAGCCGGATTTGTAAGGTAGAATTGGGATCATGATAGTTGGGGGGAGGAAGCTTGTTGTATCTTTCATGGTTGCTATACTGCACCCTGGCTGGCTGGTCTCTGCCCCACGATCCTTCTGTAAGGGGATGTCCAGTTGCCTACAGATGGGCTTTGGGTCCCCACTCCACACTCCCCCTTATTCACAATGATAAGATTTTTTGTTCTTTGGTGCCTGATACCTTATCGCATCGACACCTCATGATCACACAGGCTGGTGTGCTTCCATGTGAACTTTATTGCTTCTTAACTAGATGGCCGCTTGTTTATCTTCAAGCCTTTAAGACCCCAGATGCTATATCTTTTGATAACCAGGCACCATCAGCTTTCTTCACCACATTTGCTTATTCACCCATTTTGTCTTTAGCAATTGTGTCAGGAAGGTGAGCATCATGAAATGCCAGCTTAATAAAACAAAGTGTTCTTGCATTGAGGGAGTACTTGAGTAGAGGCCTAATGTCCATCTGCTACTAAAAAGGGATATTTTATTAACTTTAAATGTGGTTATATTTATGGTCTTGAGCTTCTTACTAGTTTTGAAAGTAGTCTATATTTTACTCCTCTGTTTTTAGACAGGTCGTATGTGTGCTGGGGATGATGGGGTGGGAGTGTATGGAGGACTAAAGGACCAGTAGCGTTTTGTTAATAAAAAATTCAAGTTTTTTATTGTGAATTAGGTGAAGGTTTACAGAGCAGATCATCAATTTACATTCAATTATTCATACATAGTTTGTTTCACTTCTTCCACTGCAATCCCCATAATGAAACATCACATTCCACTTCCTCCCTGTGTTTCCTGTTTCCATTTCTCCTATCCTAACCTTACCCTGAGCTTTGTTCTTGGATAAATGATGCTCTTTTGATCTTAAATGTTTGATTGTTGTATCATAGGAGTGATTTCAATTCCAGATCTGAAGGATGGCTCAAGACCGTAGTCTTGAGAGTTCTAGCAGTCTCTTTGACCAATAAACCTTGATCTCTTTTATGATTTTGAGCCTACATTGGACTGTTTCCATGTGTTTTTGATTTTCATCAGTCTTCTTTTTTCTGGATGAAAAGAGAGCAGTAGTTGCCCCTCAGATGAATGTTCACAAGCTTTTAAGATCCCAGCTGCTGCTTAGGAAAGTAGGATGTAGAACATGCCTTTATGAAGCATATTAATGCCAGTTGACCTTGGTTTCCCCTGAAAGTATAGTCCTGATCCCCAAGATCCAGCACTTCCCTCCCTCCAGCTGTTTGCTTATGTCTCAGACATTTTCATAACTTTGCCCCCTGTTTGCTCCACCACCTTCATATACAGAGATCCTTAGTCAAATATGTATGTATACTTCCACTCACCTCCCATACCTGCTTAGCCTGCAACTCTATCCAGGAAAATACTCATAGATCATCGCTATTACAGAGTTGTGCATGACCATATTTGTCTTGTTGCCTTTCTTATAAAGCTCCCAGTGTCTTGCCCTGCGGCCATCAATTTTTGCCATCCTTCTATGTCAATCACCTGCCCTTTCTGCAATTTAACACCTTACTTTCTAGATTTCCCCTCTCTGCCTTCCCTTCCCACCCTTGGTAACCATCAAAGAATGCTTGTTTTAGTGTGAAAACATTTTCTTGATTTTTTTACAATTATGATCTCATATAATATCTACTTTTTATGATTCATTGTTTTCACTCAGATTATCCCCCAGGATGAGGTCTTTCACAGATTCTTCGTTATTCTTTAACACTGTGTATAGTATTCCATTGGGCATCTGCACCAAAATTTATTTGCCCATTCTTTCACTGATGGATATATCATTAGTGTCTTAATATAGGCTTTCTCTTGGATGTTCATTAATAGCGATGTTTAAAAACATGTGATTATTTTTTCATTAGGTTCTCATTTATGATAGATTTGGCCAAGATATAATCTCCCCTCTGCTATCTGTGAAGGAGCTGAGAGACATGGGAATCACTCTGCATCTGTGAGTTTTATACATTTTTAATTATGGCATTTGTTTTAAGGTACATTCTTAAAGATTTCTTTAACTAACCTTGAATCGAGTTATTATGGGACATTTATTGAGAAAAAAATGAGATTACAGAATTTATATTGTCAAACAACTTCCACGCTACCCCCAATCTTCCTTTATTTGATCTTTCACTTCTGAAGTTAAAAAAAAATCTCTGGTTTTACAAAGTCTAAATTGAAATTTCCTCTTATGTGTCTTTTTATGTAGATTTGGTTTACCCTCCAAATGAAAGATAAGACCTGATAACTTCAAGTTTCCTTCAGCTCTCAATTTTTTAAGCTTTTCTCTAATGTCAAAAATACAAGTGGCTGTAAACATTGCTGTTAAATTACTCACCGTAGTATGATATCTCCCTTGGATTCTCAACTACCATATTTGTCAGATAATATTGTGTCTGATCTGTTTGGTTAAGAAAAATGAATTATATTTATACATTTGTCTCAGAACATTTGGAGAAGGACTATAATCATGAATCATATATATTACTGAAAGAGTCAGGTTTTGATGTTATAAACTATATGCATTCTGCTTATCATTATAACTAATGATATACAGATTATAACTAAATGAAATGATTTATTCTGTCATATTCAATGTCATAAAAACATTGAAATGTTTTTATATTCATTAATAGTTGAGTTAGTTAATTGTGCCAGCCTGGCCGATAATCACATGTGGGGCTGGTTGAAAGGCAGAGGGATAAATGGGTGGTGAAGCCTCACCTTTCTAGTTCTTGGGTCTCTTGTTTTG